ACTGAGACTGGACAAGGCCTTACAATCCTCGCACAGGAGTTACTTCTCAGACATTGAGAGGTGAAGTGCAAAATGTCATGTATTTGCACGCTCTAAATCAGTGTTTTTCAAACATGAGCATGCATGTGAAGTTCTTATAAAAATAAAGACTGATTCAGTAGGTCTGAGGTGGGGCCTGGGATCCACCATTTCTAACAAGCTCTCAGGTGACCGAGTAGCAGTCTAGAGTCAAAGAACCCCACTCTCTGTTCTCACAAGCCGTGCGACCTTCAGCAAGGGTCTGGCCTCTCTGACCTTGATGCCCTCCTCTATGAAACAGGGATGATTACATCAGTGCAATGCTCAGTGGGATTGGAGCCGTGAAAGGAGCCCATGCGAGATGTGCTTTGCAATCGACTGAGAGCCGTAAATGAATTAGATGGCATTAATGATGATACGGCAGCGATCATGATGATTAAGCACTGCCGAGCAACTGTTAGCGGAGGCCGAGCCCTGGGACGGGGTTGCGAGTGACAGGCAGCTCTGACTGCTAACTGGTCATTAGGACCTAGTTGGCAGCCGGCAACCTGGGGTTGGTTATTGAATCAAAACTTGACCCGAGAAGGGCCGGTTTGGAAAGTCTCAGCCGGGACCTGCTATGCTTGGAATTGTCCCTTCGGCCAACAGACATGTTGTGAACCCTTGACTCAGGGATCCCAGACATCCAGTGTTTCACCGTCCAGCCTGTCTTGGATGAACACCCCAGGTTCAAGAATAAGCCAGTGCCTGACCAGATCATAAAGTAAGACCCGCAGCTCACTGGAAGAGAGGACGGGGAAGAAAATCCATGACGCCACCAAGCCAAGCTGGTGGCAGGACCAGACCCCAGCGCCCTTCTAGTTCCTTCTCTAGCTTAGCCAGCCGTTTCCCTTTCCTTTGGGGAGAAGCATCACCCCGAGTCAGCCGTCTGGGAGGAGCAAGGTCGAGTGGATCCTCAGTGAGCGGCAATGGGGTTCACTGGACTGGCCGTGGAGGCTGATCCCAGAGTGTGTGAAGGGGGCGGGGGGCGCAGCGCTCATGCCGAGCAGCTCTCCCAAGTGGACGTCTTTTTGGCATTTGTGGAGGCTGTGTATTGACAGCGGATGTGTTCAGACTATGATAAAGGGACATTAGAGGAAGTCACATGAAAGCAGATATTGATCTGTTTAATACCAGACTGCAAGTGAGGCCATGAGGCACGGGGCCTGTAGAGTCTGGGGCACAAGGCTGCACCCCTCCCATCTGTCCAGCTCCCCGCCTTAGGCCCAGATACCCAATACAGCGCTTCAGGCGCCTTGGCGAAAAGCCTCCCCCCGGGAGTTCCAGGGGAAGTAGGGGCTCCTTTCTCAGGAGAACAAGGGCCCCTTCCTTCAGGGAGAGGGGGCCCCGCCCGGCAGCCTCACACCGGTGCACATGGCTGAGCAGGTGAGCTGAAGTAGATCTCAGCCTCCTGTCACCTCTCGGTCAGGTGCCCGTGGGCAGGGGACAACAGCTATATAGCTAGCACTGTACACTGCTGGCCCTCATGTCGGAACCTCACTCTCTAGTGAGAGTGATTTGGGGGTGGCTGAGACACCTAAAGAAATCCTTGGAAGATACTCCTGGGACAATAGGTTTGGTGTGTCCAAATCCTTCATTGAGGTCACAGGAAATGATGGCCCAGGCAAGGTCACAGAAAATGATGGCCCAGGCCACTCTGTGTGCATTAATGCGGGAATTCCAACTCCTTGGGTACCCTGAGGTGTGTTCTCATGGGCATAACAGCAGTCTACCTTCTGAATCACCTCGCGAGGAAAGCCTGGTTTTCAATGTGACGACAAGGACCCTGCCAGACCTGAAGCTTGCTGTAACAGGCCTCCCTGGGCAGAGACAGGTCAGGTTCTCTGTCAGCAGCCAAGCCTGCTGCCAGGAGCCTCAGCCTCTTTCCTGTCTTGCAGCTTTTATAAATCCAACTATGTGCAAAGGTTCCACTACTCGCGGCCAGTGCGCAGGGGGACCGTCGACCCCGAGAATGAGTTTGCCGTGAGTATCTCCCCTCCCCCTCAGCAGCCTTGACCATTTCTCTGAACCACCCTTACCAACCAGAGCATGCATCTGCCAGCCTCAGGATGGGAGGGATTTGATTCAAAGCCAAAGATAGTCAAACTAACACCTGCTGATACAACAATACCCGTTCCTGGTGTCTTCCTTCCATTGGGTTCGTTTTCTCATTTCTTGGGCCTTTTCACTTTCAAAATACAACCCGGGCCTTGTGTGAGATGCAGCTTTCAACCACAGGGCATTCAGCCATTTCCAGAAGGTAGTAGCCCTCAGGCAAAGCAGGGGTGTTAATGAAGCCAAACCCTCCAGGGAATACCAATAAACCAAGGCGATTTCAGCCCGCCTGGCCCCTGCTCACTTCCCAGCCATGACCTGTATTTTATGCCCAAGAGCTAAGGCTGGCACTGGAAGGTGGCTCCAAGTCTCTCTCAGCTCTTTGCATAAAATCGTGGTTCCTCCTATTTGGGAGTCACTATCCCTTTGAGAATCTAATGAACACTGTGGACCCTCCCTGTGAAAATGCAGGCGGATGCATTCAATATGGCCTATGAATTCAAACTGTTCAGAGAGCCAGGTTAAAACTTCCCGGGCCTGAGTCCAGGGAAAACTCGAACTTCACTTTGGGAAAGAACTCTTAAGGGTGAGGTGAGAATGTTTCTGGGTCTTGGAATATTTATTCCAGTTTCGGGTGGATGGGAGGCCTGGGGCCTGGCGGGGTTCCTGCCGAGCTTCTCCGATACCCAGGTTTCCTAAGTGTGTTGCTTTCCTACCTTTGTCTCCGCCTGCCCGTGGGACAGTCGATGTGGATCGAGAGAACCTCCTTCATGACTGCGTACAAGCTTCCGGGGATCCTGCGCTGGTTCGAGGTAGTTCACATGTCCCAGGTGAGTCTGTGAGCCTTCATGGCACACCTGTCCCAGCCTCAGGAGGCCTCTTTGACTGTGAAAAGGGGACACGCCTTTGTTTGAAGCCACTGCAGGAGTCCTGGAATTCCAGTGCTGGAAGGGACCTGAGGCAGCATCCAAATTAGCTGCTTTCAGACTTTTTAAAAAAGCACCAGATAACTTCCATTCCTTGCAAATGAAACCTGTTGCACTGAAAGCTGATGAATGGCGAGCTCCTGGGGGTGGATGCAGCAGGGAGGCAGAGGACCAGGAACTCTGTCCTTACATCCTCCCAGTCCCAGCAGCCCCTTGGGGCGCATTTGCAGAATCTCATTCTGAACTCATAGTGGGACAAACCGAGGCTCAGAGCGAGGAAATCGCACAGAGGCAAAGCTGTGACTAGAATGCAAATGTTTGAACTCCCTCCTTCAACTCGCACGTTCTACTTCCCCAAACACTTCAGGGTCTTCGCAGCCTCCAATAGCTAAGGATCCCACAGCTCCCCGGATGCAGGGGAAGGGTCATGGTGGTTGTGAAGACACCTGAAAAGTAGGGACATATTCAGATGTCTGATGTTTTCATTCAGCAAATATTTCATGAGTACCTAACCCACAGCAAGCACTGTTCTAAGATCTGAAGATTTTACCATGAAGCTTACGTTTCAGTGGGGAACAGACTAAAATGTCGAAGTAAACGTGCCATAGGTCAGACGGTGATAACCATTACGGAGGAAAAAGAAAGAGAAACGTAACAGAGGAGGCGCAGTCCCAACAGGGTGGCCCGAGAAAGCCTCCCTGATAACGCGGCTTCCGAGCCAAGGCCCGGAGGAAGTCAGGGACTGGTCCTTGCAGCTGTTGAAGAGAAAGACATTCTGGCAGAGGGAACAGCGAGTGCAAAGGCCCTGGGGCCGAGCGTGCCTGTGTCTGGATCAGAACTAGTGAGGGGTGAGTGGGAGTCTGATCCCAGATCCCGTAGGACACTATTGGCCACTACGTGGACTTTGGCTTTTCTACTGATGACCTGGACCCGTGAACAGATGGGGAACATGGTCTGCTTGATATTTTCAAGCTACTGTATTATCAGCCTTGACACCATCCCCCACCAGCCCTTAGCGCCCGCCTCCTCCCAGGGAACCCAGCAACCCAGCTCGTTTCCACACATCAGGTGCCCATTTTTGAGGTGAAGAATCAGAAACTTTCTACCAGCCTGTAGCCTATTGGTCCCAGCTGTGCCCTTTTCTCCAGTGGTGCTCAGCAAGGTGCCTCTTCTTCCTCAGTGTCCCCATGAGACCCGGTCCAGTTCCCTACTCCCCTCTGCCACTGTGTTTCTCCTCAAAGCACCTGCCACCTCCGAATAGACCACCTCACGTGCCTGTGTGTTGATTTTTAATGTCCAGAATATTAGATATAACATTAGAATATAAGCTCTATTATAATATAAGCTCTAGGAAGACAGATTTTTGTCTCTTTTGTTTCCTGTCATATCCCTGAGAGCAAAGAATAGTCCCAAGCCTATAACTGGTGCCCAAGAATATTCGTTAACTAAATCTATCCATCGGTCACTCTGCAAACACCCGTTCTGTCTGAACTGGTTACCTTTATGGACTCAGGATTCTGAAGTCAGGAAGGACATAGCCAACATTTTCGTTTCGCTCCTTTTATCCCAATATCCTCGGAAAGATTGGGTTGGGAAAACCTCCAGAAAGCTGACCAGAGTGGATTCGTCTCTAACAGCCTCCCTCAGTTGAGTTACCAACACTGTCAGGGTGTCTCAGACACAGCGTCGTCTGCCTGCTGAGTGAGTTCGTTGCCCAGCGTTTGCTTTTTCATTCCACGAATTTATATCTTATCCTTGGTTGCTTCATTCGTACATTGACATGACGACAGGACTCTTTGTACAGAAAGGTGTTTTCTCATGGGATCCCAGTAAGCTCTGCTCACTGAGGTTTCTTGTCTTGTTCTTGGCCCAGCAGACATGCAATCTTTACGATAAGCCCCGATCCAGGGGTCAGAGACCCAAATTCAGCTTGGTCATCAATGAGCTGTATGTTGCTGGGCAAACACTGTATCGCTGGGCCTTAGTTTTTATCATCTGTAAGACAGAGATTGAAAAACTCTGGAATTTCAGAGCCAAAAGATACTCTAGAGGTGAGTTAGTCCAGGAGCTACAAATTTAAATACCTTTGGAGAAGAAAATGTAAGAATATGAGAGAGTCACATTTAGACAACAGGGGGAGTGGAAGCTGTGGCAAACTCTCTCCAACTGAAATAAATTTTTAAAGATTGGAACTCACTGCAGGCTAAACAATAGACCTCTCCAGGCTCAGTTAGGCCTGCAGAGCTCCAGACTGTAGCCCCTTCCTCAAAGCACCTTATCCAGCCCAGCTATTTTGCATATGAGGAAACTGAGGCCCAAAGATAGGATTTGAACTGCCAAGGTAATGAGTGACAGAAGACATTATAATAACACCTGTCTCGTGCAGCTCATGGGATTCTTCAGAGGATTTACGAAGGTGACACAGGTAAAATGCCTTTGAAGAATATGAAATACTATTGACTGCAAGGGATTACCTTAACTTTATCTTTTGGCTGATGCTCCGGCACCCGCCCCCACCCCGGCTCTTTAAAATTGTTCCCAAAGTTTTTTCTGCTGATAACTCATTTTCTCCTCACAGCAGGTTGGGCAAGCGTTATATATACACCCATACTGCTGATAAGGAAACTGAGGCTCAGCTTAGGGAAGAGGTCAGAGATTTCAGGACTTGACAAGTCCAACAGCCAGTTTGAGGCAAGTTCGGTAGCAGAGCCTGATCCGTGTGTGGTGAGAGGGACCCGCCTTTGGAACTGGGAGTCACACTGAGTTCTCTCCTCAGCTCTGCCGCCACCTGCCCTGGGTCGAGCTACTTAACCTGCTGTGGGGAGATTAGATGAGAGCGTACATGCGATGATGCACCCAGAGGGACTTGGCACATAGTAGGCGGTTGATGAATGGAGCCATCTTTTGTCATGATTATTGCTTTTATTCCTGGGATCAGCTCCTAACATCCAGGCCTTCCCCCAAATATGCATATGCACCACCCTCCCCCCATAACCGCTCTGCGAGCTGTCTACTCAGTCTACACAAATGCTATGGATGAGAAACCAAAGGAATGGTCATCCTCGTTCTCTGCCCCTGGTGGCTTTAATGACATTAAAGACTTGGAAATACCAAAGAGCTTCAGAAATGAAGAGGAAAGCCAAGCAATAGACTTCCCATTTTTAATAACTCTCCTGAAAGCCTGTGTTTTTTCAGACACACCAGGCTATAGTTAAAATCCAGGTGCAGTGCTGGGCTCAATCAAAGCGGTCGTGATAGACTTTCCTTAGAGCTCAGTCTGGACCACGGCTTCATGAAGCCCCTGCAGGTTGGTCTGTGTGCTTGACGGACACTAGACTATGGGCTGCAGCTTCTGGAGCATGAACCGCAGCTCCCACCAGGCCGAGCAGACCCCCGCCCCAGCTCACATGTGTGTGTGTGCATGTGTGCACGCGTGCGCATGCATGCACACTCATGGATATGTGCATGTGTGAATATGTGTGCATATGTATACATGTCTGTGCGACAGAGAGGGTGACAGTGACACAGCGAGGGTCTACTCCCAGGGTCGTCTCACTGCAGAGAGCAGCCATCTTCAAAAACGTGCACAAACAAGAAAAGGGCTGAGGGGCTAGAATCTTATAGGGATTTAAGGAAATTATTTAAAAAGCACAAACAAAAAGGGCTGAGGGGCTAGAATCTTATAGGGATTTAAGGAAATTATTTAAAAAATGACCAAGATGGTTCTAGAGGCTGGTTCCGCCCGTCTCGCTACCCAGTGGTTATAATAACCAGCAGGTGACATTTTTTTCAAGAATTCTACTGAGTCAGGTATCATATTATCTGAAATAATCTTTGCTGCATACTCAATAGGCTGCCTGTGGGTCTTCCGTTCTTAGAACAACTGCCAGTCTCTGTCCTGACAACTACATGAATGAGTAACAGCCACTAACAGCTATTATTCTCTGCAGGTTTTCTCCTCATTTTATCGATGAGTCCACTGAGGATCAGAAAAGTTAGGAAACTTGCCCAAAGTCACACAGCTAGAAAAAAAAACCCTACAGAGCTGATATTTGCGCTCAGTTTGGTTTAGTTTAATTCAGGGCTCAGCAAACCGTGGCCTGTGGGCCGGGTCCCATCTGCCACCTATTTTTGTGAGTTGTGTTATTGGATCAAGCATGCTCATTCATTTCCGTGTTGCCAAGAGCCGCTTACTCCCTACAATAAGGGAGTTGAATATTTGCAACAGAGAATGTCTGGCCTGAAAAGTCAAAAATCGTCACTCTGGCTCTTTTACAGGAAAAGTTTGCAGACCCTGTGTTCAGTTTTTTATTCTTGAGAACCACACAGTTCAGCCAGCTAGCATTTGATGGCACCCTGTTTAAATTGCTTGTTAAGCGGTGTTGGTAAGGTGTTTAGTTTTTATCCTCCCAACTAAACTGAATCCACCTTGGCCCAGTGACGCCTTATACAGTCTTAGGACCTACTCTGGGCCGGGCTGGGCAATCACATTGCCAGCTATTCTGATCTCTCTGCTGCCGGCTCACACTTAGGGGCACAAGCAGTGTCGGGTGGGTTGAATCGGAGCACGTTTCACCCAGGTGGTAAGAAGGAAAACCTCCCTGGAGCACACCCAGCCTCTGCAACCCCAGCAAGCACCTGACACTTCCTGCCTCCACCTTCCTAGGAAATACATCCCTTTCTCACGATGCAGAAAGTCAGCCTGTCTCTCCCCAGACAGCAGCCTCCTCGCTCACCAGTTACAAGAGCCTGCTACAGCCCCTTGGGGAGCATTGCCTCATTTGAATTCTAATCCTAAATGAAATCAATACCAATAATTATATCGGTTTTTAAAGTGACCTGCTAAGACCCTTTCTTTCTGGCGATCTTATTTTCAACAGACCACAATTAGCCCTCTGGAGAACGCCATCGAAACCATGTCCACGGCCAACGAGAAGATCCTGATGATGATAAACCAATACCAGAGTGACGAAAGCCTCCCCATCAACCCGCTGTCCATGCTCCTGAATGGGATCGTGGACCCTGCTGTCATGGGCGGGTTCGCCAAGTACGAGAAGGTGAGGGCTTCCGCCGTCCAGGCCCTGGCAGGGAGCGGAGCGGTGGCCGGAGGGCCTGGGGGCAGACGCAGCCGCACGCTGCTCATCTCACTGTGGCTGCTGCCCCGCAAAGGGACATTCACCTTCCAGAGGTCCTGCAGCCTCCCTCCCATCCTTCCCACCCTCAGTGCCACACACTGCTGCGGCAGGAAGGGACAGGGGTCATAAGGGGCCCCTAGCTCACTGGGCACATCCGGGAACCTCTGCCAAGGAAAGGCTCTGGGTGACCATGAGCCAGGCCGTAAACGCAGAGGAACCATGAATCAAAGTACATGATTCATTCCGGGAAAGAAACGAAACCCGGAATCTGTAAAAATACCGAAAGGATAGAAGAGAACTCCAGAGGGGACTTATAATCTCTATATCCGGGTCACGAGGTCCCTCTAGATATCTTCACACATTTGAGCCACAGATTTCATTTTTGAGCCTCCTGGTATCCATGGCAAACAAGAGAAAAGCCACCAGATCTATGAGTTGCATTATCTCCTGGGGAAAAAATACCAATTTCTCAGTGGGAGGACATAGCTTTTCCTGGCATCGAAGTAGAATAGAAAGTCCTTGCTTGGTTTTTACCTAGACCATATATTATAGGAGACACTGAGGGGAAAATGGATTCTTCATCCCCACAAATCTCGTGATGAATTCCCGATTACCTTTTCTATGCCATTCATTGATGTAAAACTAAGAATACAACCTAGTAATATAATTCAGGGACATTAATTTCAGTCACCCAACAGGCGTGCTAGCTACCCTCAGACACCCCATGGAGTCATTGCCAGTAAGCCTTTGTTCAGTCTTGAGGGCTGATAGGATCTGCGTGTATTTGTGTGGCCATGAGCTCCAGAAAGAGCTAGGGGCTGCCCCGATTATACACACAAGGGGCGTGGTGAGGGGAGCTGGAATTCCTTACTGGGTTCTCTTCCTTGAGGACAGTGCTCTCGAACTTGAACGTGCATCAGAATCGCCTGCAGGACCTCTTATCACGCAGCTGCCTCCCTGCCACCCCCTCAGAGGCTCTGATTCAGTTGGTCTGGGTCGGGCCCAGGAATGTGCATCTCTGACAAATCCCCAGGTGATGCTGATGCTGATGGTCTGGGGACCCCACTTGGAGAATCGCTGGGGTTTGTGGCCCATTCCCAGCGCGTACTGATCTGAGGCTCCAGAAACAGAAAGCAGTGTAGGTCCCTGCAGGTCCCTGCTCCATTGAATACACGGGGCCTCGCTGCTGCCCATCTCAAGCAGAATCGTCGCCTAGTGCCAGAGAAATGGTTATGGGGTCCACACCAAATGAAAAAAGAAACCCCCAATACCTGTCTGTCCTCCCCAGGCTTTCTTCACTGAGGAGTACACCAGGGACCACCCTGAGGACCAGGACAAACTGAGCCGCCTCAAGGACCTGATTGCGTGGCAGGTAAGGCAGAGCCGGGCTGGGGAGCCCGCCCTGCCCGCTTCCTCCCCCACCGTCCCTCTGCGCACCTGCCCTCAGGTAGCCTCCAGCCGCCACGGCCTAATTTAACATGTCCTCTTGTCCTTTGGCTTTCGGCCCCTCTTCTGACTCCTGAGCAGGCTCAACCTGGAACTGGGACTTGGGGCCCTGCACCCTTGGGGTGCTGCACAGATGCCTGGCAGCAATGCTCTGCACACAGTGCTAAGACTGCTTTACTGGTTGTTGAATTCAGGAGGTAGCTTGTCCCAGTGGGACTGAAATGCAAATCAATGGTTAGCAGCCGGGCCCCACACACGCCCCGCCACACCTCGCATCTGCCAATCAGACAGGAAAAGACTTGGCCCTCGCCGGCACCTCTCCTCCTCTAAAGCTGTCTTCTTTCGCTGCGGACGATACTCACATGGACACCAGGGTTTGGAAATAACCAAGGCCTTTGTTCTCAGGCCTCCAGAGCCGAGCAGAGCACTCGGCAGGCGCGGGCCTCCCAGCTCCCAGACCCTGCTCTGGACGTCTGCTGTCTCTCCTCCACCCTTCCCGCCCCGCGCCTTCCCTCCACGCTCTCCTTTCTGACGCTTCCTCTCGGTGCATCTGTCTCTGTCTCCCTCTCTCCAAAGTTCTTTGCTTCCGTCCCTCCTCGCTCTGTCTTTTGCTTCTCTCTGCCCCACCCCTGCCCTCACCCATCAGCATAACCCTCCCTCTGCTTTCCTCTCTCCTCCTCCTTTCTCTGGCTCCGTCCTGTGTTTTCTCTCCCTCGCTCTCTCCCCTCCTCTCTCCTATTCCCTAGAGAGGAAACAATCCACCGGACCCTCCCCCAGGAGCTCTCGAAAGACCAGGCTCCTCCAGGCCTGGTGCAGCCCCCTCCTCAAACATCTCCCTGCTCCCCATGGACCACCCAAAACCCAGAACACTGCTGGTGGGGAGGCGCGCCCCTGAGGGCACAGTCGGGGGGCAGTGAGCTCGGGAGCAGGGACCGCAGCCTGCAGCTGCCTGTCCTCCCTCCTTCTTACCAGTCAGCATGCACAGAAAAGCAAGCTATTGTGGGGAGTTGTTGTCACTCTAGGGAAATCAGGAAGTGAGAAACACTGGGTGCAGCCTCTTTTCTTAAAATAAGGATCCCTAATTCAGGTCCTTCCCTGCCTCTGCCAATATATGCAAAGTGAGGCTTTAAAAATGAAATGCCAAGTGCAACACAGAAGTGCTCTCCTGAATGCATTTCGTATGTCTGGAATTTTCTCTCCTCTCGTACCTCGTGCCATCTGTGAAACCCACATGTCCCCACGGCCCCCAACCTTCCGAGGTCATCGTGCCCTTTAATACTCCAGTAATGATTTCTCCGCCCCACCCCCAACTAGGGATGCAGGAAGGCTGGGCTTTGATTGGTTTCTTTCCTCAGATATTTCTGGAACGCTCCAGGGTGGGCTAAAATGTCACACAAATTTCTTCGGTTTTTGGGTGTCATTCTCAATCCATATCACTGCCCAAGGCCTCTCCACTGGGTACCGCTTATCACCTGGTCATGGCTCCGTGCCTTGTCCACTGCGCCCAAAGCCTGGACCTCAGCCTCACAGCACCGCTAACACCTGGCCGTGCCTGGTAAGGACGTTCCACCAAAGTCTTGGAGCTAGTGGAGGAAAAAAAGACCTCGAAAGCATACATTACACCTCATAGCTTCTGAGAGCCGTCAGCTCGGCCTCTTCAGACAGCACCCCCTAGTGGCCACCCTCTCCATAGCCCGTCACCACCTCGCCTTGCCACTATGTTACAGAGGCCGCTCGGCCAGGAATAGGGGATTGCCGGGCGCCACGTCCATGCCACCCAGAGTCCAGGCACCTACGCTCAAGAGATGCTGCCCTGCCCGTGGTCCAGGCGGCCTCTTCACGTTACTCCTCACTGCTAGTTAGCCCCTCATCCATTCCATCCATTCCTGCCACTTCTATTATCGAGGCCCCACGGAGTGCCCCGCAGCAGAACGTAGTGCCGGACAAAATCGGGCCTGCGCCCTCCCGACGACAGATTGTCAGACTTCTCTGCTCATCACAGCATTTCAGCACATGCCTCGGGCCGGCCTCGCGACTCCTCTTAGCTTTTCTGGGGTACCCAGTGCCTCTAATCCCCGAGCCCCTCCTGGCTTCCTGGAGGCAGGTTGGCCTCTTCTTATCAGCAACTCCCCCCTCTGCTCTGGACGGGCCGTTACCGTCGTCCACCCACCTCCCACCTGACAGGCGTGGGACGGGATCACAGATGTCTCCTAGTCGTCTCACTGAAGGTGTCCGTTTCTCCTTTGCCGTGTTGTTCAGACCCATCGTGGAAGCATTCTCTTTTTTTTCTTCAAAATAATCTATATTCTCCCTCCATGCGTCTCTCGCGCTTCCCCGAGGTCACGATGCTAACTCTCCCAGCTCCTCCTTCTCGTAGAGGCCACCGTGGCCGTCCTTACATCTACCATTGACCTCCCTCGCACCCATCATCCCCTCCGCCCTCATCTTCCCAAGGCTTTTCATCATTTTAAAAACTTCGCTCCTGGCCGGTTAGCTCCGTGCTGTGAACAGTTCCACGTCATTCCTCACAGCCACACGAGGGACGACTGGGTCTCCCGTGTTGTGGGACGAGGCTGTGCCCGCCCCCCCTTTTCTTTCAGCCCTTCCCTTCTTCAGTCTCCCTGTTTCGGACATGTACTTTTCCTCTTACGTCACTGAGAATATCTTGAGCAAGACTTTAAGTCAAAGCAACAGACATTCCTCTCCTCCAGTGCCCACCTCCGCCCTCAGAGAGGGAGGCTTTTCCAGGCATACAGCCTCTAACGGGGGCCCAGCCCCCCTGTGTGGCAGAGGCAGCTACATGTCTTTTGCCCCTGTCCAGAGCGAACCCCAAGCCTGCAGCTTTCCTGTCTCCCAGGGTCGTGGCCCTGTGTGAAGGTCTCAAAGGACCCACATGCCCTGGGCGGGTCTCGGCAGGCAGAGGACCCTCAGCCGCTCCGTGGGCTGGGTCCAGACGGACGCCCGGCGGCCAGCCACTGGCTCACTGTCCACCACCTTTCTCCCCAGATCCCCTTCCTGGGAGCCGGGATTAAGATCCATGAGAAGAGGGTGTCGGAAAACCTGCGGCCCTTCCACGACCGCATGGAGGAATGTTTCAGGAGCCTGAAAGTGAAGGTGGAGAAGGAGTATGGCGTCAGAGAGATGGTACGGCCGGCCCGTGGCTGGCAGGGCCGAGATGGGTGGGGAGGGGCAGGGGGGCTCGCTGGGGGCCCGAGCCAAGGGACCTGGCCTTGAGGAGAGGACCCGAGGGCCAGTGTCGCTGGAGCCGATGACCCAGGGGGACCTTTTGGAAACTTGGTTCCTCGAAAGTTGCCCTCAGACTAACACCACTTATGAGTTCGGCCCTGAGCATTCAGGCAGCTGTGCTAATTATACAGCTGTGTAGAGGAAGCACCTGCTCTGCGCCTTGTCTGGCCCAAGCCCTTGACATCCACTAGGTCATTTAGTCCTCACAACATGCCCGTGAGGTAGGAATGATTTTAACCCCTTGTATCTCTTCTGGGGGGTCAGAGGTGTTAAGTAAGTTGCCAAAAGCTACGTAACAAGTGAGTGCAGGGCAGAATTTGCACCTGGTTCTGTTGGCCCCCAAAGCCAGTGCTTTTGGCCACTAATAAGTGCCATGGCCTAAAGAAGCCATTGGCCTGGGACTCACAGGAACGTCTTCTTTATCCTAAAAAGATAAAGCCTGTGGAATCCTAAAAAGTCAAGCCTGTGTGGTCCCTTAGAGGCTACCTGGCCCAACCCTCCCATTTTACAGATGAGAAAACTAAGGCCCAGTGAGGGGAAGAGAGTTTACTGGAAGAGCACAGAGGTGAACTCAGGTCTCCTGCCTTCCAGCACAAGAGTTGTTCCAACACTCCCTGCGCGACACGCCAGTGCGATGCTGATGCCGACCACCAGAGTTAGGTCAAACTTCAAGGGCAAAGTCCTCACAAGACTCCCTCACTTCCAACATCAGCTGCTAGCTCTAGGGTTCCCGGGCCACCTGCACCTCTGACACACTGGTTGTAAATTTTGGGGTTCCCACTACCCCTTCCGTTTTGATAATTCCACAGAATTCAAGAAAGCACTATACTTAAGATTATAATTTTACTATAAAGGATACAAATCAAGACTAGCCAAATGAAGAGACACAAGGGTGAGGTCTGGGAAGGTCCCAAACGTGCCGCTTCTGTGTCCTCGGGACATGTCTCCCTACGTACCCTACTGGCACATCGATGTAGGATTACCAGCCAGGAAAGCTCACCTGAGCCGAAGTGTCCCAAGTTTTTGTTGGGGTTTCATTACATAGGCATGATTGGATGAATCATTGGTCATGTGATTTCAGTCAGTCTCTGGCCCCTTACCCTCCCTGAAAGCTGAGTTGGTATCACAGGGCTCAAAGCCTCAGCCCTATAATCACATGGTTGGTCTTTCTGGCCTGGCTAGCCCCCATCCCGATTCTTCTCATTAGCACAAAGGGCCACCATGACTAAAGAAGACACTCCGTCACTGGGAACATTACAAGAATTTAGAGATCACCTCCCCCGAATGAGGAATAAAGGCCATCGAGATTCCTCATTAAACAAGCCCCTTAGCCTCAGCCTGCCAGGACACCCTCACAGCCTGCTCTGCCCCACGCCCCTCCCCGCCCAGGTGGAGGAGGAGGCACGTGACTCCAGCTCCCGCCCGAGCATGGAGCCCGGCTGCTAACCATTGCATTCTTCACACTCACAGCCGGACTTCGAGGACAGGCGCGTGGGCCGCCCCCGGTCGATGCTGCGTTCCTACAGGCAGATGTCTATCATCTCTATGGCGTCCATGAACTCCGACTGCAGCACCCCCAAGGCTACCTCTGAGAGGTCAGTCGCTGCCCAGGGCAGCCCCGCACCCCTCTCCTCGACCCAGCCCCCCGCAAAGCCCCAGGGCTACCATTCCATGACCTTTCTGTCCTTTGGTTTGAAAGCCTTTCCCCACCCAACACCTCACTGAAACCCTCACAACCACCCTGCCATCACGAAAGGGTCATTCAAGGCCTGAGAGACGAGGCGGCTTTTCCTGAGGACCCCGCAGGACTTGCCTCAGCCCGCAGGCTCCCTATCCAGTGATCTCTGTCAACCACACCGTCTCCCCACAGAGCCTGCTTCAGTCTAGAATCTTCTCACCTCTGCGGGGGCCTGTGCCTCCCGACTCCCCATCGCAGAGCTGCTCCTCCTGCGCCCGCCCACACTCTGTCACGGCCCCCTTCCCGTCATCCCGTGGAGAGCCTCCTGCTCCCACCGTCCTGGGGCCCTCTGCTCCCCGGGCTGAGTGTGGGAGGGGGTCCTCAGGCCTCATCTCACCGTCACTCTGCAGGGTGCTGCCAACACCCCCATTTACCGAAAAAGGAATGACGGCTCAAAGAGGTCGCGTGACTTGCCCAGTGTCATCCAGCTAGACAGTGGCCGTGTGTGAATTTGAATCCAGATCCATGTTCTTAACCACTTTTCTCGTCTCTCTGCCAGTCTCTCTCTTTTTTTTTTTTTTTTTGTATTTTGAATATTTGCAAATTAAGCAAGTGGCTTCCAGACTCTGCCAGGTCAGCCGATCTATGCCCTACCCTGTGGTGACAGCTCGGTCGACCTGGGTCCCACCGAAGCTCTAACTGCGGCTTCCGCTGCTGTCCCTCTTGCCCTTCAGCTTCGACCTGGAAGTGGCGCCCCCCAAGACGCCGAAGGTGGAGCAGGAGGAGCCGATCTCCCCGGGGAGCACTCTGCCGGAGGTCAAGCTGAGGCGCTCCAAGAAGAGGGCCAAGAGGAGCAGCGTGGTGTTCGCGGAAGAGAAGGCGGCGGCCGAGTCCGAGCTGAAGCGGGTGAGCAGCGGGGGCGGGCGGCGCGCCACCCCGCCGGCACGGCTCCCCTGAGCCGGCACAGCACGCGGGGCTCCAGGCGGGGCTGCGTCAGCCGCCCTTTCACGGCCGGGTGGCTGTGACAGCGGGCGTCTGAGGACGGGGCGAAGTGCTCGCTGGTGCCCATGCAGCCTGGACGTGACAGAGCTGGGATTTGAACCGAGGCCACTGGACTCCAGCCCGTGTGTTACTTTTCTGCCACCACGCAGGGCTTAGTGAGGCTGGGAGAAGCTGCCTGTTGCACCCACTGAAAAGGAGAGCAGTCCCCCCACTCACCCCACCCCCGGGTGCTGGGCTGGGCGTTTCCACCTCCTCCGCCCTCTGTCCCCAGCCCCCAGGGCCATCCTGACTGCTGACATCCGTGTAGCGGGAGCCCAGCCGGGGATGCAGAGATGAAAATCTCACCGCCCTGACTTCGAGTTTTCATGTGGTAGACGAATAACTATTTAGTGTGAGACGTGGTGCCACTGGGTTTAAATCCTAGCTTCCTCCTGAAAGAGGGGTTTGTCTAGGATGTTCTTGGGCGGGGAGAGCGATTAACCGTCCTAGCAAGGAAGAGGTGCCAGGAGAAAGGGCAAGGGGCCAGAGGAGTTGCATGCCCTCCCGTGAAGAAAGGCTCCTCTGCAGACTTCCTGGGGCGCCTCAGATGCTGCTCTTGCCAGGGAAGAAGACAGGAAATAAGAGTCTGTGTTTCCCCATTCCAGGGGGCATCACTCCTGTGACAGTCGGGATGAACGCCATCCCCTGCACCCCATGGTTGTATAGTGTGCAACCTGTGCAACCGTACATGGTAGGCTGGCATGGGACGATGAAAAATAAGAGAACTTGGAAGAGAACTTGGAGCTGGCTTGGCGGAAGCCTTGCCAAGCCTCATCACTAACTTTTCAGGTCCAGAGCTGCTTCATGCTAACTCTGTGTGTGTGTGTGCATGTGTGTGTGTGTGTGTGAGGGATGATGAAAAACAGAATAATAGAACTTGGAGCTGGCTCGGCGGAAGCCTTGCCAAGCCTCGTCACTAACTTTTCAGGTCCAGAGCTGCCTCATGCTAACTCTGTGTGTGTGTGTGTGTGTGTGTGTGGTGTATTCATGCAGCTTTCCAGGAAGCACGAGTTCATGAGTGACACCAACCTCTCGGAGCATGCGGCCATCCCCCCCAGGGCGTCCATCCTCTCTCAAATGAGTTTTGCCAGCCAGTCCATGCCCACCATCCCAGGTATGTACCCGGCTCCCACCAGCATGGAGGTCTAGAGCTAGTTCCGGCCACCAGCTTGGGGCTGGAGAATGGGTGTCTATACAGCAAAGTGGGCCAGGCATCTTGGGGACAAAAGCCTCTGCTCAGAGGCACCTTGTCTTCCGAGCTGTCCCCAAGCTCCACCAGAGTCGGATGAAGGCCTGCTGTCACTCTGGACACTGGGAATCCATTTGTCACACCAGGCAGCCCTGTGTTCCCAATTAACCAGGCCCCCAAGGGCCAGAAGTCTGCCCTGATATGTTCCTAAGCTCATGTTTTCGTTTTGGACCTGGAAGACTATTTCCGGAACTTGCAAAAATTGCCACCACATCTTACAGTTGCAGAGAGTTTATGCCTAGTGCTGCCTAGCTCCCCTGCCACTCATTCACTGTCTGGTGAGGAGGCCACCAGCACACACGTGACAATTTCTAATTCACAGAGGGGGAAGCTGAGGCCCTAGCTGGGGACGTGGTGCACCTGAGTGTGCTCCACCTGGCAGGTAGCATCTGCCACTGTGCCAGGCTCTCTGTGCCACAGGCCAGGGCAGAGGGGAACAAGGTAGACTGAGGCTGTCCCCAGGAACTCGGCAAGCGAGACGCCTGCCATTTCCCGTGCGGCGACCACGTGACCTGCTTCCCCTGCATTATTCATTTACCCGTCAACGCCTACCTAGGAAGCAGATCATATCATTAGCCCCGTTGTATGGATGAGGAAACCGAGGCACCAGTAAGTGGCAGAGGCTCAGTTCGGACCCGTCCCTCTGTCCCCGAGCCACGCCCCCAACCGCGGCCCACGACGCCAGGCAGGAGAACCCCCACAGGGGGTGGTGTTTGCCTGTGCACCCAGCCGTTTCGCCCCCACCTCAGTAGGCCTCGCAGCACCCTGGAGGCCTGTATTCTACCCCCATTCGCCAGTGTCAAAGCCAAGGGTCAAGAGGTAGTTGATTTTTCACGTCCCAGTGACCCCCAGCTGGGGACCGCAGCCGCCGGCTCTCCCCACTGGCCCCCGCCTTCAGGGACACAAGAAACCCAGGGTCCTGGTATTGGAAGGTGGAAGGCACTACGCTCGAGTCATTTCCCCACCTGGCCAAAGGTCGTGTTCCCTGTGGACACTGGGGCCCCAGAGGCTGGGCTTCCCCCACCTCAGCACCCCTTTTGCAGCCCAGAAGCCCTCGGAGGAGCTCTAAGGGGGTCCGAAGGCAGGTCGCCGCCTGCGGCATTGGCAAACCTTACCCCAGAGGCTTCAGCAGCCCCGCGCAGCACGACATGGCCTCCCGCCCCCCGCCTGACACCTGGGCCTGCTCTCCCTGGACCTGCCCCTCCGCCTGTCTCCCATCTGCCTCCCCCAAGTCACCCGTCCTGTCCCCGGAGAACCGCCTCGCTCGCTCTCCTTCCAGCCCTCACACTCACACCAGCTCTCGCTCTCCTTCCAGCCCTCACACTCTCCGTGGCAGGTGTGCCTGGGACAGACGACACCACCTCTTCCCCCCGCTTCAGCCAGACCTTTCTCGCCTTCTCAGAAGGTGACAAGAAGACGCTCAAACGGAAGAAAGTAAATCAGTTCTTCAAGACGATGGTGAGAGCCAAGGGGGAATGGGGAAGATGGGGACAGGGCAACGCTGAGAGAAGAGAAAATGGGGTGTGTTCGCAGTGTGTGCGGGCACGCACCTACACGCACGTGCAGACACACACGCGCACACACGTGCACATGCAGATGCATGCACGCACCTACACGCACGTGCAGACACACGCGCACACATACGTGCACATGCAGATGCATGCACGCACCTACACGCACGTGCAGACACACGCGCACACATACGTGCACATGCAGATGCATGCACGCACATACACGCACGTGCAGACACACGCGCACACATACGTGCACATGCAGATGCATGCACGCACATACACGCACGTGCAGACACACGCGCACACATACGTGCACATGCAGATGCATGCACGCACATACACGCACGTGCAGACACACGCGCACACATACGTGCACATGCAGATGCATGCACGCACCTACACGCACGTGCAGACACACGCGCACACATACGTGCACATGCAGATGCATGCACGCACATACACGCACGTGCAGACACACGCGCGTGTATGTGCGTCCGTGTATGTGCGTGCATGCTCGCATGCATACACATACACACATGCACACATACATGCATGCACATACACACAGATGCAGGCACAAGCACAAATGCATGCACACATGCACGCACACACATGCACACATGTGCATGCACACATCCATACACACACGCACATGCATGCATGCACATATGCGAGCACACACATGCATGCGCATGCAGACACCTGCACACATGTGCATGCACGTGCACACATGCGCGCACATGCATGGACACGCACATGCACGCACACGCAGACACATGTGCACAGATGCACATATGCGCACACATGCACATATGCGCACACATGCACAATCACACATGCATATACACACATACACGTGCACACACACACACATGTGGTCACTGAGGAGGTGTGGTTAGGGGCCCCAGCATTGGGACACTAGCCAGCAATGCCAGACTGCAGTTCTCCTCTTGGGCCCTGGCCTCCCCTCTGAGCAAGCTGACCCCAGCTGGGCTGTGCAAGGGGGCTGGGGCCTGGGACTCAGAGCCTGTAACTGTCTTTTGCCTGGATCGCCCCTTGTTGGCCCATCAGCCAGGACAGGCAGCTGCTTTGGAAGCTGAAAGCACTTTGTAATTTTTTGGAAGAGTTTTCCTGTTCGATTCATATAGCAAAATCCTACTAATTAAAAGTTAGTTTCCCAGTCCCGACTGTTCGAGTGCCGTCTGCTATTGTCACTTGTCAGTCTTTGCTCAAAATAAAGGGGCACTTGACACTTCGGATCCTCAAGGCGTTATTAAACCAGAACTCTGCTGCTGTGATAATCGCAAGGGCAGCGAGTGGACCCCAGCTGCCCGTCCAAACGTCGTCCCGCGCGCCCCCTCCCCCGACCCGCGCCCTGTGCGGGCTTCGTGAGGCTCCCGCGTGGCTCGTCCAAGCTCACGAGTGCCTGAGCGGCAAGGCCATGCTCTAACCATTGGGAGGGTACCGCCGGTCTCGCCATGCGCACGGTCAGGGTGGACACGTTCGTGGGACTTTGGGCAGGGGCCCGTTTAGGGTCCTCGTGGTTGGAACTGGGGAGCCCACTTGGGTGCATGCGAGAACCCCATCTTGAGGTTGTGCTTTTTCTTCTCTTTTTCCATAAAGCTGGCCAGCAAATCCGCCGAAGAGGGCAAGCAGACCCCCGACCCACTGCCCTCTGACCTGTGAGCCGCTGCTGACCAGGGCTGCGCGTGGGGAGCCGGGGAGGGGCGTTTCCAGCAGAGGGACCGTGGGACATCGATGCCTCAAAGAACAGGGAGGACCTCCTGTCAGCTGCCTTCACTCGGACAGAGGAGGCAGGCTGGGCCAGACCCCAGAACTTGACTGGTAGCAGACCAGCGTCACCGGGGACAAGCGACCCCGGTGGTGGGTGAGGCCGCCCCGCCCCGGATGCGGGGCTGCGCGAGGAGCCCGCGTGAACGCTTCCGCCGCATGCGCTCCCGGCGCCCCGGGCCCGCCCGTTACAACCCAGCTTCTTAGGCAGAAGGAGCTGTGTTTTTGTCTCATTTCTAAGTCCTAGCCCTTCATAGAAAAGCCTTTTAAATATTCTTTTATTTTATTTTTGTTTAACAGTTTCATACTTCACATTTTTTCATACAACTAGTTTTTTCCTAGCTGATCATCTCCAAAGTGTTGCTGTTTCTTACTGACAATAAAAAAAAGTGGTTCTGTGGCTCGAGCTAGCCTCGTGTAATTCTGAAGTCACTGGAATCCCTGAGTCCCACGACCTGGCAGGTGGCCCCCAGAGACCGTCAGGGAGGTGGGAAGGCCCAGCCCCGAGGTGTTGGTGAGGGCCTGGCTCCAGCCAGTTTCAACACCAGACCTGCCCACCTGGCTCACACCGCCCCCCCAGAATCTCCTCCATGGCGCCCGCTCATTAGGGGCTGAATGCTGGGGTGTACAGACGCCGAGAAAGTCCTCTAGAATCTTCCTCGCGTGATCTGCGTGGTGGATCGCTTCATACACCTGTCTCCCTCCAGAAAGAAATGGCAGAACCACCCAACCAAATGCTTGAGTCAGGAAAAGAGAAGGCTGAGGTCCAGTGAATGATGGCCTAGTCTTTGGATTCATCACCAGGTCAGAAGTGGTGGCTTTTCTTGGAAGAATCCCCAGGCTCCTCCGGTGAGGCCCAGGGGAGGCGAAGACCTCTTCCTCGCAAGGCCCTGAGGATGGGGACCGAGGCCCCCCTCCCGGGCCAGCAGGGGCCTGTGCAGGGAAGGGGTCTTGGCCGAGGCCAAGGACTCCATTTGGGAAGGAATCGATTCTGGGTGTATTTGAAGTGCACGGCCATGTGGGGTTCAGCGCTGGAGCCACTGAGAGACCCCTGGGGGAGACGCTCCCTTCTTAGAAGCTGCAGACTGTGAGGGATGAGAGACAATCATGACAATAGCTCCCATTTACCTACCTCTAACGGTCACCAGCACCATGTTATCGACGTGACGGGAATTACCTTCCTAATCTTGATAGCAGCCCCAGGAGGTGGGTACGACTGCTGCCCAGATGAAGAAACTGAGGCACAGAGGCAGAAGGTGGCCTGGGCCACGCCCCTCACTAAGTGGAAAGGCTGCGATTCAAACCTGGGCAGCCAGGCGGAAGCTTGGCTTTTAACCAAGCCTCGTGCACAGGACATCCTGAGTCCCCATAGCCTTTGTGCACCCCAGCTTCTTCCTGGTGGCCCCCCTATCCCCTCACCAAGCCCCAGACCTGTTGCTGGTCCAGCTTCAATTTTCTCGACAGTCCTAAAAGTCCCGTTATGGTGTGGTTGGGGTTTGGGCTGCATCGTGGATCCCCAAAGGTGACGGGTCAGTGCCTGCAGGCTTGGAATCTGGCCGAATCACTTGTCAAAGGAGCAAGGACAGTGCCCGTGAGCAGAGGAGCATCCCCAAGAGACTGAGCAGCTGGACGACCCCCGTCACGTGCCCGGGGCACCTCCACGGCTGGAGGTGTGGCCTCGGAGCTGTGTGTCCCTTACTGTATCTGTCATTCCCGTCCCGCCCTTTTCCTCTCCAGGTTATAGGTCGGAGCAGCTTTTTCTTTCAGTCCAAACTAACAAAACTCCAATGTTTAATCGACCTTAAAATGTCTGCCCTTCCAGCTAGGAGTGGGAAAAATCTCAGCAAGGACAAGAAATTGTTCCCCCTCTCCCCACAACGGCAGAAAGTAGATCGATCCTGTGCCTTGAAACCGCAGACGTCATTTCTCTTGCAAAACACCCAGATTCGGAGACGGTTGCTACATCCTGGGAAAGTCTGCTTGAACCTCCAAGGGTTTCCTAACTCTGATCTCCTCACTCAACAGTATGTGGTAATAATATTTCCAAGTTCCGTTTTCTGAAAATTATCAGTATTTGTGAGTTTTTTCTTAGGTCTGAAGGGGCCTGGGGTTTTCCCCCTTTTCTCATAGAAATGGAGCAAAAAGGGAAACTTGTGGGTTCTTATTTCAACAGAGTATGAGAGTTGAATCTTATTTTAATTAGGACTGTCATCGAATTGGTGGCTCACCTGGCACTTTGTCAGGAGCATTGCGGTGCTCCGGTTACAGGGCAATAACAATGCCAGTAGCAATGCAATAACGAACAATAATAATATAGATGTCATTTTCCAGGCACTGAGATTACGCATCCTTTCCTTAAATCGTTAAACCGGTCCAGGAGGATCCCAGCCACACTGATGTGAAAACCGAGGCTTGGGGAGTTTGCCACGGGCCCTTGTCACCCAGCTCGTGAGGGGCACGGCCAGCTCTGTCCACTTCTAGCCTCATTCACTTTCTGCCTTTGACCTCAGCTCAGTGTCAGACTCTGCAGATGCCATGCCCCTTCGGAAAGTTTCTCCCACAATGCCAGAGACGGCACCCAGGACAAAGGAGGGGGCCGGGGCTAGATGTCCAGCACAGCTCTGCTTGCGCCCCTAGTGGGTCTCTTATTGTAAGCAAGGTCTATCCAAAACCAATTAGCAAGGTCAAGGAGAAGTGCACATTTGCCTTCAGCCCTCCTAGCGAGCGGGGCTGGGAGGCGGAGGGGTGGGGATGGAGGAAGGATCTACTGGATGTCTCTTTTCCTTTCCTGATGTGGAGTTTTCAGGAACCCTTGGAGATCATTTCATCCAATTCTCTCATTTTAAGAGTTAAGGGACCCATCCCAGACCACACAGCTGTGACCAATAGGACCGGATCTGGAATCAGGCTGCCTGACTGGAAGCCTGGTTTTCTTTCAGATAATCTCCCCTCCGTGACACTCCGTCACCCTCTCTTTAAGCACCCACAAACCCCTCCTCGCTTTGTGTTTTCCCTTCCTCTGCCTTTGAGACAGAGATGATATCTGCCATTCACACTTTAGTGTGATCTAGGGGAGAGGCATTTTTTAGCTTTATCTCTAGTGTGGAGTAGAAGTTTTCTGTTTTCCATACTTTCAGGCTTAAGTAGGAGAGAAATTCAGAGTCACAAAGGGCCTTCCCGGCATCTGAAATCAGGCTGCTTCTGCCCTCCAGGTACCCTTACCTGTAACACATCTGTTTGCTGCTCCCTCTGAACCCTGGGCCCTCTGCCTTTCTGTCATATCTAGTTCCCAAGGAAACAGATCCTCGGGCAAAGGCTAAAAGCCCCAGCTTTGGGGGCGCCGTGTGACAGCGAGTGCCACTTTAAAGAGTGTGAGTAAATCAGATGGCATGCACAGCACAGAGATGGCAAAATCACGAGGTGTGAGCCTCCACGCTGTGTGACTACGACCTTGTCCTGCGTACCCCAGAACTGCTACTGTGAAGACAATCGATCAGTATGTGCTGAGTAAATGAAGAAGGAATAAGAAGGGCCAAGCATCGCTTCAGAGGCCCTTCTCGCATTGTGTCCTCCGGTCCTTGCAACGGCCCTTCGAGGAGGCAACCCCAGTGCCATCCTCGTTTCATGGATGAGCAAACAGAGGCTCAGGGGTAAACAACACGGAGGCATCAGAAAACTTAACTGCAGGCACCAGTTTTGAACTAGGCCAGCCCAGCCGCCCCCCTCGCAAGCCTTCTAGGACATTCTGCCCCATTGCCAACCCGGTTCCCACTATTTCCATCGCAGCGGAGCTAAGGTGTGTTCGTTTCTCTAGGAGTTCATTTCCTCCTTGAAGCTGCCTTACAGGGTCTCAGAAACCCGTGGCCTGTCCTGAAACGTCACCCGGTCTCCGAGCTGTTCCCTGCTTTTAAAGAGATGGCCACGAGAGGGCGCCATTGGTCTACGTTACGCCAGCTCAACCAGAAGCCAAAAAGCAAAGCGCTGCCTCCTGGCCCGCAGCTCCGAGGACATCCCGGAAGCCCGCGCTGGGGCCTGAGAAGCCAGGGCTACAGCAGGACCCGAAGCACTGAGACAGATCTCATGAACGCTCTGCCCAGGAGGACGGGAGGCCCAGATAACAGCTCGTGGCCGTTCTCGGAGAACTATTTCTGGCCGTAGGTAGAAAAACTGTGGCTTCTTATCCCCATTTTACAGATTGGGGAACTGGCACAGAAAGTTTAAGCTAGAGGCCAACGCGTCCCAAATTCCTGATTCCCCTTCCCAGCCTCTCCCCTCTCCTCGGGCTCCGGGGTCCCCCATGAGAGCTGACGTTTACCGAGCACGTGCTCGGCCTGGCACTTAGTCCTCAAAGCAACCCTCGGAGGGCGTTGCGTTTCCCCTTTTACGGATGAGGAAACTGAGGCCCAGAACCGTGGGTTGCTCTCCGAGTTGTTCTCGTGGACCGAGGCCCCCAGACTGGCTCAGCCCTGAGCTCCCTGCTCCCCGCACTGCCCCGCAATGCCGCAGCAGCCGGTTCAGATGCCGCCTGCCTCTCTTGTCTCTGGTTCCTCATCCCCACTCTGCCTGCTCCACACACGATCCTCCAGCCCCTGGCCATCGAGCGGCAGTGGCCCTGGCCGGCCGTGGTCTGGGTGCGGGCCTGGGCACATTCACCCTTTCTTCAGGCCTTGAGCCAGGATGGCCTTCCAGACCTGGCGATGCATCCAGCTGACTGCTGGGCACCCGGGAGAGCGGCAGGCCTTTCCTCTCGCCCCCAAATAGTGAGACCTTCCCAAGGTGAGGGAGAATGTGAAACGTTGGCTGGAGGAGGATGGAAGCCGGTCTCCCCCCCAGAGAGCACCTCCCTGTCAGTGCCCGGCCCCTGGGACCCGCATTCATCATCGTCACCCTCGTCACCAGGCGTTTTTGTCAGATCCTGGGCTCTACACTTCACGAACATCCCATCACGTTTTCCTGCAAGATTCACATAAAGTAGGTTCTACGTGCGGCTTCATTTAATAAACGAGCCAGTCGAGGCCTCGTGAGATTACGAGACACGGCCAAGGCCTCACAGCTGCCACACAGCGAAAGTGGGAATCGAAACCCGGCCCCTCCAGACCTCGGTGCCCACGTTTTCATGTCCTGTCGCCTCATCCCAAGTATCCCAATTTGAGTCTCAGGATCTGTGGTCTTCCTCACTCCGGAGGCCCCTCGGGACTGTGCCGTGCAAACCGCGGCCCTATGCTCCCCAGGTGGGCTCGGCCTCTTCTGCCCACCTTTTGGCTTTGTTCGCTGTGGTTGATCAACAGGAAACCTTTTCAGGTTTGGATTTCTACTTCTGGGATATTTCAAAACGCCTAAAATAATTTAGAGACATCTGATTGTTTTTCTCGGGGGCCCTGGGACTGGCCAGGGAGCTCCCGGGCTGTAACTCCCCAACCTGCCCTGGGGGTCGGGACAGGTCGCTCCCCTCACCCACCCAAGGACTGCACCCGAGGTGCTCATGACAATCGGGACTGAGGGCCTCGGGGATGCTCTGAGGACCCCTGGCGTGACCCTGTGGTGACATGCTGAGGTCCAGAGGCTCCACATGGGCAAAGCCTCTCCTAAAACAGGCCAGGCTTCCTCTGATCCCCCGGAGAGAGAACTAGTGCCCAGGTATGACAGGGAGACTCAGGTGAGCGTTCCTCAAACAGCACCTCTCAGGAAGGAGACCCCAGCAATATGCAAAGGGCAGACGTGGGGGCCGAAAGACCAGGTCTTGACCCTGCTCAGCGTGAACTTGGCATGTGACTCAGGGCCTCTCTGACCGGCAGCTGCAGATGGCAGGGTCCCTCATACAGTGTCTGCACGGAGTGTCCCCACCCCCTTCCTTCACTGCGACCCACTTGCCACACCGCCCCTGCCCACAGCCAGCTCAAAGGGAACAATTACTTCACGAGGTGTGAACTCGGGGATGGACTGCACGTACCGCAGGCGTACTGACTCTCTTACAATATCTAGTATTTTTTGAGTGCGCCTCTGTGCCCCGTGTGAAATGACTCACACCAGTGACATTGCTCCCTTGGTGAATGCGCACTGCTACCACGTGAGTTTTATTGTGGCATCATTCCCATTTTCACCTGAGAAAACCGAGGCCAAAAAAGTTAAACCATGTGTTAAGATTTGCACAGTTATTCAGCGGCAGAGCTGGGAATCAAACCCGGGTCTTCCTGACCTCGGAGCCCGTGTCTGCTGTATCTCTATGGTGCTTCTTGCTGGCCTTTTATATTCAACCCCAAAAGCAAGTCACCTGTGTGTTTGCCTTTCTCTAATCATTTAAATCAGAAACTACAGAAAAAGGACGATGAAAATCACATTCAATTCTCCATGCAGAAATCATAATTGACAGTTTGGTATTTATATTTACATATTTCATACACATGTATAAATATATATTTCTATTCCCCCCCAATTATAGTATTTTGCAGTCTGTTTCTCTGAGTAATATTATTAGAACGTAAATATCTTCCCATATCACTAAATATTGCACGATCTATTTTTTCATGGCTGCATAACATTTCATCATTTGGATAACCTGAGTTGCATTTAAAAGATGCCCTATTGTTGGACATTTGGGTTAGTGACAGTTTGGTACAACTATAAGTAACGCAGTGGTGGACGGGCCTGTGGCTCATTTTGCTCTGTTTAATTCTGTGGGATCGATGATCAGAAGTGGAGTTGCCAGGTGAACCACAAGGCTCCGGTCTGCGTTGGGCTCAGATGTGACGGTGCTTTGAGCCTCAGAGAGACATTCTGAACAAAAATGTGGCCTCTTTGCTTTACTCTTCGGAAAGAAAGTGCAATCGGGCCCTTTCAGCGTCACCCTTCATTGGCTGTTCCTTGGTGGGGACAGGCAGTTAGTTCCTCACCCTCTTACCCGAATCATCCTCTGGGCACCAAGGACATTTGTTCCACAGCACTGAGGCTTCCCCAGACCCCGATGCAGCCACAGAGGAGAGCAGAGACCGCGCGGGGGACGCCCTGGGACGCCCCTATTGCTGGGACAGCAAGTGACCTCCTTCAGTTGCAAAGACATGCTACGATGAAGGAAGTGGACATAAGGTCCTGCTGGGACAGCAAGTGACCTCCTTCAGTTGTAAAGACATGCTACGATGAAGGAAGTGGACATAAGGTGTCTGAAGGAAGTGAGAGGTCGGGTGGGGAGCATGTCATGGAGGGGAGAGGGCAGGAAGGGGGTGCTGACCAGAGACGCCGCCTGGAACTCCTTTCCAATCTGCTGGTCCCGGAGAGAAGTCTCAGGCTACCACAAAAGCCTGTCCAGAGGACAGCTGCCTGACCTCTGACGGGGGACCACCACGCGTCCGCCAAGCTGAGGGCCTGTCCTGGGATGACGAGGGGCCAGGACAAGTCATATCCAAGCTGCACAGGGAGAATGGAGCCCAGAGAGGGGAGGGGCTGGTCGCAAAGCAAGGAGAAGCCTGAGGCAGAGGCGGGAGAGGGGCCTGGTGCAGTGAGGGGGGAGGGCGCCCCTCCTGGCCTGGCTCTCGGGCCTCTGCGAGCTGAAACATGAAAGGACTTTGATCAGATAAGGAACTGCAGCCTGCTCGTCCCTGCAGCCAGGAGAGGCTTGGCCGGTGCACGTTCCCTCATTTTCGTGAGCCCTGCAGCTCCTTTGGAATAATCCCCAGGCCTTGTGTAGAGCCCAGTCTCTGTCTGCCTGCACTATGCATGTGCGTGCACGCACATGTGCAAAATGTGTGCATGTGTGTATGTGTGTGTATGTGTGTGTGCATGAGTGTGAGTGTGTGCATGCATTTCTGTGTGCACGCACACGCGTGTGCATGTGCGTGTGCGTGTGTGGATGTGTGTGAATGTATGTATGCATGCGTGTAGACACATGTGTATGTATGCAAGTATTACATGTGCATGTGTGCATGCATGTTTGTGCAGGTGTGTGTGCATGTATGTGCGTGTGCATGTTGTGAGTGTGTGCATGCATGTGCACGTGTGCGTGTGTGCATGCGTGTGTGCATGTGTGCGTGCGTGCGTGCGTGTTTGTACATGTGTGCGTGCGTGTGTGTACATGGATGTGTGTGCGTGTGTGCGTGCGTGTGTGTGTGTGTGCATGCATGTGTGTGCGCGTGTGTGCTGCGTGTGTGCGTGTGTGTGCATGTGTGCGTGCGTGTGTGTGCGTGTGTGCATGTGTGCATGGATGTGTGTGCGTGTGTGCATGCATGTGTGCGTGCGTGTGTGCATCGTGCACGTGCACGTGGCGGGAGGTCATCTGTCACTGTCATTTTCCTCTTCTGCTGTCCTGATGCTCCAGAGCCAGGTTCTTCCCTGGAAACTCCAGAAAGTGTGTCTTCACCTCAAAACACCAAACAATGTGGCTCCTCGATAAAGTGTCTCACCCAGTGCGCGTGAGGGCCAGAGAACGAGGGGTCCGGGGTGGGGCGGAAGGAAGACAGGACAGAGGGATGGGGGAGAGATGCAGAGGGAATGCGAGGCAGAGAGAGACCGGGAGCGGCGGAGGGAGAGATGGCGAGGACGTGAGTGCGAGGAGACGCAGGGGCCGGAAACAGACTCCGGGAATACGGGGGAGGGAGACGTGGCGCCGTCCACGGGAAAAGCAGGAGGAAAAGCGAGAGGGAAAGACACTCAGGTGAGCAGAGAGCGGCTGGATAGAGAGAAGGAAGGAGAGAAGTGCGGGAAGATGTGAGAGGAGGGAAGGGACGGAGGGCGAAAGGACAGAATGCAGGAGGACGAAAGGGGCAAACAGGGCAGGGGGAAGAGACAGGAAGAGCAGAGACGAGGACGCAGAAATAAAGGAGGAAATGACCGTTTTCACGGTCCGAGTGTCATTAGCGGACCCGATGTGGCTGGCAGGAACATTCCCCTGGGTTGGCCGGTGGCTGCCAGAGGACAGGGGGGCGGGTCCGCCGCGGTGGCCGCCCCTGGGTGGGGCCGCCAGCCAAGCCCTGAGGGGTATAAGTCAGAGGCTGGGGCAAGCTGAGCACCTGCAGGGACAGCTCCCCTGTGCAGGTGGCACGCAGGTGGCTCCCCTGAGCGCAGCCCCAGCATGAGCTCCTTCGACCTGCCGGCTCCCTCGCCGCCTCGCTGCAGCCCCCAGTTCCCCAGCATCGGCCAGGAGCCCCCCGAGATGAACCTTTACTACGAGAACTTCTTCCACCCCCAGGGCGTGCCCAGCCCTCAGCGGCCCCCCTCTTTTGAGGGGGGCGGCGAGTACGGGGCCACCCCCAACCCCTACCTCTGGCTAAACGGGCAGGCCATGACCCCGCCGCCCTACCTGCCCGGCCCCAGCGCCAGCCCCTTCCTGCCCCAGGCCTACGGCGGCGTGCAGAGGCAGCTGCTGCCCAGCGTGCCCGGGCTGGGGGGCGGCGACCTGGGCTGGCTGCCCATCCCGTCGCAGGAGGAGCTAATGAAGCTGGTGCGGCCCCCCTACTCCTACTCGGCGCTCATCGCCATGGCCATCCACGGGGCGCCGGACAAGCGCCTGACCCTCAGCCAGATCTACCAGTACGTGGCCGACAACTTCCCCTTCTACAACAAGAGCAAGGCCGGCTGGCAGAACTCCATCCGCCACAACCTGTCGCTCAACGACTGCTTCAAGAAGGTGCCTCGCGACGAGGACGACCCGGGTAAGGTCCCGGCGCCGGGGCGCGGCGGGGCGGGAGGCCGCGCGAGCCCTCCGCGTGCTGCACGGGGCCGGCGCTCCCCACGGGGGGTCCCCTCATCCTTCCCACACCTCGTTCGGGAAAGTTCTGAACATGGCTGAGCCCCCGAGACGCGGGCTGAGGGGAGCCAGCAGTGGACGGAACGTGGGCCCTGGAGGCGGATTTGGGTTTCCATCCTGTCTGGGCCGCTGACCACTCAGTGACCTTGGATTGGTTAGATCTCCGAGCCTCAGTTTCCCCATCTGAAAAACGGGGGATGGTGACGGTATCCCCTCCGCGGGCATGTGGCTGGGGTCGCGGGGTGAGGCATGCAAGGCGTTGGGTGCTGACGCGGGCTCTCTGCTCTGCAGTGGTGACGCGGGTCCATCTGAATCCCCCGCCCTCACTCAGGAAGGCGTGGTGGGGGGCAGCGATGGACTAAAGGCCCAAGTGTACCCCAGGGCTGCTGGGAGGGGATGGGGTGTTTGTTGAGCAGCCACTAAGGGCCACCTCGTGCGGCCCGCCCTGGCTACCCGGCCTCCTTTAATCGCCCCTGCAGGGTAGATTGTAGGAGACTCATCCTGCAGATAAGGAAAATAACAGGCCGGGGTGACGCGGAGGAAATGACGGGGCCGGAATGTGAATCTGAGCAGAGCCCTCTCTGACGCTAAGACTGTGCACTTCTGTCTCACGGAGAATTTCTGAAATACGGAGATATGCACAGGGCAATGTATTTAGTCCTCATGTCTCCGCTTTCCAGAATCAAGGTCCCTTCTCGTTCCACCACAGGAAGCCAGCATACGGGGCAGAGGATCCCATCTCTGCCCACATAGGGGCTCGCAAGGGCGGGATGATTTGTCCCTTCTCTGCATCTTCTCATCCAGTAACTGATCTTATCCTCAGGCTGAGAGATGGACAGTGGCAGACAGCATTCTGGCCTGACCTCAGGACAGACCTCAGTTACAAAGCCCTTTCTTTCACATGTCCAGCATCTGTCCTTACCATAGTCGGCCTCAGCAAGAAGGGGCAGGTACCACGGGTCCACTTCGCAGGCTGGGAAACTGAGGCTCACCCCAAGTCCCTCAGCCAGATAGGAGCAAAGCCAGGACATAAGTCCGCCTTTCGACTCCATGCCCTGGACGTTTAAGGAGCCCTGAAATTTTTCCTTAGTTTTCTTTCACCCCAGCAGTGGACACACCACCCCCTTCTGTTCCCCTTGAACTTCTTAAAGAGACCCGCGCTGTGAACGCTTTCATGGCTCACGCCTCTGCCTCGTGGTCCCCAAGCGCCTCGCTGCGGTCCCCAAGCGCCTCGCTGTGGTCCCCAAGGGCCTCGCCGAGGTCCCCAAACGCCTCACCAGCACAAGGGGGCCAGGGGTTTGTGCAATTTCTCCATTTCTCGGTCTCTGACGTTTGCTCTCCATCTTTCTGGGTTCGTTACCTCTGTTCTTAGCTTTGGACAGGAGGAGGAGTGGAAGTCAAGCATCTTGTCTGCCCCTCCACTTACCTTCTCCCCTTTCATGCCAGGCAAAGGGAATTACTGGACTCTGGACCCCAACTGCGAGAAGATGTTCGACAACGGGAATTTCCGCAGGAAGAGGAAGAGAAAGTCGGATGTTTCCTCCGGGGCGGGGGGCTCCTTGGCCTCAGAGAAAGCGGAGAGCGGTCTCCTGGCGGGTAGCCCCAAGGCCACAGACGCCCAGGACATCTTGGACAGCAGTTCCCCAGGCACCACCAGCTCCCCGGAGCAGCGGCCGTCCCCCGCCCCGTGCCTCAGCAGCTTCCTCTCCACCATGACCGCCTTCGTGAGCGGGTCGGGCCCCGCCGGCCGCCCCGTGGCCGCGCCGGGACTGAACGCCGAGCCCGCTGACAAGGCGGGACAGAACCTGGTGCACTTCAGCTCCTACACGCCGCTCACCAGCCTCGGCGGCTCGGGGGCGGCCGGCGAATGGGCCAACCCCGTGCCCGCCAACGCTCTCGGCTACGGAGGCTCCGTCCTCAACCAGTTCAGCCCTCATTTCTACAACAGCGTCAACACGAACAGCAGCGTCCTCTACCCCAGGGAGGGCACCGAGGTCTAGAACCAGACAGCTCCCGAGCCGGCTGGACATGGCCGAGGGGTGGGGGTGGAGGTGCTGCCCGCCAGCATCCCCGCGGCCGGCCCGACACCGCTGAACTGCCCGCACAGACGCGGGAGGTGCAGAGAAACGCAGCCTTTTGACAGAGCCCTGTGTGAACCTTCTGCGAACACAGCCAGCAACGCTGCAGTGGGAATTCTGGTGCCTGCGTAACAGTAAACAGGTGGCCATTTATTGAACACTTACTATGTGCCGGGAGCTGTACTAGGCTTTTGAGGGCATGATCACACTGACTGCTCCCAGTTACCTCGTGGGGTTCATATGAACTTCCTCATCTAACAGACGAGGGAACTGAGGCTCGAGGAAGTTAAGTAACTTTCCCAGGGTCACACAAACTAGTAAGTGGCATAGCCAGGAGCCAAGTCTTGTGGGAGCCCCAAAGTTTGGGCCAATGGAGGCAGCGATGGAGGAGTTGACTGAGTGGCTAAGGAGGGTCAGTGTGAAAGCTGATTGGACGAGCACATCCACTGCCTTCTGGTTGTCCATCAGAATTTAGCACCAGCCCCGGGCATGTCTCATCCTGATCCAGGTCCTTATTCTGTGGCTCCCAACTTACCTGCGAGTTCTCCTTTGGCTGCCACTCCAGCAGAGAAGCCCGGGCCAAGTGTCCAGCTTCTCCCCAAGAGAGCATCACGTCCCCAGCCCCCAAAACCTTGGGCAGGGCAGGGAGAGCAGTGGTGCACCCCCAAAGCCCCACCCTGGCGCTACCCACCTGTGAAATCTCATAAAGTCCAGCTTCTTGTGTGCACGTCATGGACCAGTGCGCTGAAGGCGGCTGAGCCTTCCAAGAGAAACAAGGCTGGACCGCACTTCCTTTTTTACGGCCCAGGAGAAATAAACGCCTGAGAAACAGTCTCTGTGGAAGGGCCTCTCCCGCCGCCCAGGGCCCCCGCGTGCAGCTCCTAGGATTTTTCTTGCTTTTGTATATACTTTACATGCCTGTGACCTTGCGTCACAGCACATCCTGGAAAGTGTTTTTTGTTGTTGTTGTTGTTTTCTTATTTTCTTTTTAATTAAAACAACACCAAAAAAACCTGTGTGTCTCCCTTCCTTGTGAGTTTTCCTGTCACAGCCTGGAGCTGAAGGCTCTTGGAACAGGAGGCAGAGAAAGTATGGGTATCAAGGCTCTTTCCTCCACACTGGTGTGGAGACAGGGTGCAGGCCCCCGGGAAAAAGAGGGGAGCTTGCAGGGGTGGGGTCGGGGGTAGGAGCATGGGAGGAGTCCATTCGGACCGAACACAATCCATCTGGGCATAGCCCAATCCTGACAGCTTGTGCCAGCCTCATAACTGTGCTGAACCTTTAATCCTCCAAATGGCCCTGTGAAGGGGGTGCTACTGTCGCTCATACAGGGGAGAAAACTGGGGATCAGGGTGGGTGAGTAACTTGCCCGAAGCCCCCAGCCAGTTCACGCCCAGGTCTTCCGACTCCTGAACCTTATCGCCCTGCCATGCAGCCTCGGGTGTGGCTAAGCCTCGTGGCAGTGACACCACGCTGTGGGCTACCGTTCACTGAGGGCTGTGGGCGGGCACAGGGCCGAGGGCTGTCCCGGTGGGAGCTCACGTACCCCTGCGACAGCCCACAAGTGTGCACGCAGGTGCACGCAGGTGACTCACCAGGTGCTGGCGCAGTGCATGCTGGGCAGCCTGTACGCGGCAGCGGGAGGTCTTCTGGTTGGAGTGCAGGCAGAGGGCTCAAGCCAGGGCTCCCGGCCGCCTGCACAGGCCACGCCAAGCTGCCCACTCGGGCCCAGACGGCCCTCTGTCCCAGCAGCAGCAATAACAATAATAACGATAAAGCTCTCACCGCAGGTTTACTAGGTGCCAGGCACCATGTCAGGACATGACCTGCCCTATTGCGTTTAATCTTCAAAATAATCCAGTGCGATCAAAACTATTCTCTCCGTTTTGCAGGTGAGAAAACTGAGACCTGGAGGGAGAGATTCTGTAACTTGATCAAGGACACACAGCCAGGGTTCAAATGGGGATCCGTGGGTGCCATGGCTGAAACTCTCATCTGCTGCGCCTAGTGCCAGGGAGCCCAGGACACCCCACAAGAGAGAAGAAAGTCAGGAAAACTGAGACGGGAAAGCGGGGGCCTCCCTGGACCCCCCTCAGATCCTTTCCTGGGGAGCCCCTTGCCGCAGGGAGCCAGACTTCTCCCAGCCATGGAAGTGGATGTGGTGGTGGCCGAGGGAGGTGACGGGAAAGGACACAGTGTCAGACTGTGAAAAGCCTTAGAAAACTCAGCGGAGGCTGATGCCTGCTGCACAGAGAGGAAGCCTGAGCCTGGGAGAGGAAGACTCCACAGGTGGCACTAGGGGGAGGGGTCACAGGCGGAGTCGAGATGCAGGTCCCTGAAGCCCGGATTGGGATCTTTGTGTCACACTAGATCCTGCTGCCACCAATTTTGCCCAAAGCGATCCTGCAATGGCACTGTCTCCCTGGACCATCTCATGGCTCCTAAAGCCCACCCCTTCCCCACGGCTTGTCTGCCATGGGTGTCGGCTGAGGGCTCCAAAGAGTGACGAGCCTCGCCCTGGAGAGGGACGGCCATTTAGAACCAAGGTCCACAACTGTCTAGTCTCCATTCCTCCCCAGCCCAGAATTGTGTGGGCAGAGCAGCAACAGGAATGTCTGTAGGGCTCCGACAACACAGAGACCCTGCCAGCTCTCGTCTGCGACGCACAGGCAGTTCCTGGCAGCAGGGCCAGGAACCCACGGACGGGGCGGTGCGAGAGGTGCCTGGCTCACCTGCGGGAGGGCGGGACCCAGGCCAGCCAGGGGGGTCTCCCCGGTCAGCTTCCACGGGTTGGCGCTGGCCCCTCTGCGGTTCTCTTCCTCTGAGAAGAAATGAGAGCTGGAGA